AATTTCGGCGGAATTTGGGAGGCCAGGGTTAAATCATTTAAGAGTCTTTTGAAGAGAGTTATTGGTAATCAATGTTTAACTTTAGAAGAATTTTTGACTGTTTTAACTGAAATTGAAGGAGTATTGAACTCAAGACCTCTAACTCCAATTTCAGCTGATTACAATAATTTTGAAACTTTGACCCCAGGTCACTTTTTGGTTGGTAGACCTATCACAACTCTAGCTGAGCCAGATTTATCCAACATAAATGAAAACAGACTTTCTAAATGGCAAAGAATCACTCAGTATACACAAAAAATTTGGAAATTATGGAAACGTGATTATCTTAATAATTTACAAGAACGTCACAAGTGGAAATTTTTAAAGGATAACGTTCAGTTGGGAACTCTTGTATTAATAAAAGAGGAAAATTTGCCTTCAACCAAATGGTTAATGGGGAGAATAGCTGAGGTTTTTCATGGTAGGGATAACAAAATAAGAGTAGTAACTGTAAGATTGCCTAATCAGCATTTGCTGAAACGAAATGTTCGAGATATATGTATACTTCCTGTAGAATGAAGGTTTATTTCTATTATAAACTGGTATTTGTTGTAATAATTTGAATGTATATTTTTCAATATTATGATTTGTTATTGTGAAGTAATTTATTGTATTGCCTTTATATTTACATTTATTGAAATAATAGTTTGAAATTATTAATTTCAACGCCGGGAGTGTTTTGTATTAGCTGAGAAATGCTTGGCACCAGAGCGGAATCTTGGCTAATGGCGCATGCGCCGCCGGAATTGGCACTGAAATGTATTCTGTGAGAAACTTGATTTGTGTGGTACATTAGAAGTTGCAATTTATATGTTACGCTGTAAGATGAAACCTAGCGCCAGAGTGTCGCTATGGAAAATAAATGTATTGAAACTGTGTAATGTGTGTGGAGTTATTTTATTATGATATGTAGCTATTGACGGGAAATAGAATAAGTCAATTCAGGGCTGTTTAAAGAGCATGGTTTATTGAGGAAATCTCGCGCTGACCAAAATTGGCAAAACCCAAAGAACTACATAATGTTGCATGTGCGAAATATCACTGGCAATTGGCTATTGAGCAAACTGTTTATTGCCTGTATATTTTACACTTTAACAAGGCCTACACTGAAAAACATGCTTTACTTTATTAAGTAGTCTGTATAGCTTGTTTGTATTTTGATGTAATGCACCTCCTAGTGGAAATTTTTCAGCTCATTTCAGTTGCTGTCATATTTGCTTTCTGCCCCCGATTATTTTCTGTTGGGATAGCAGAGAAAACAAGTGCACAGAAAAATACCACCAAAAATTTAAACGTTAGAACCTTAGATATTAGCTAATGTTACGAAAAATGCAAATAAAAAAAGTTAATTCATTAAATGCTGAATGAAGCTCAACTAAAAGATGCCATTTTTTATATCCAAACAAATATCTATATGTTAAGCTTTCATTGCACGCAGTGTCATAAAAACTGATTTATAAATTTAAAGAGTTACCGAATCCTTAAGCACTGCTTTTAATTTTGAACCATCTTGTAGTTAAAATTATATTAGTTTAAAAAAATGTATATCACCACAATTTTACATGTTTATTTAGTTATACAGTCAAAAGTCTTTAATACGGACATCCATAATCCGGAATGATCTATAATCCAGACCTCAAAGCTACAAACTTTCTGCGCATGCGTCAACTCATAATGCATTGATGCATGCGCGTAATATCTTTACACATGTGCATATGCGTTTACGCATGCACGTTTAATGTAGACAGTATAAGTTAAGCTAAAATTATCTAATTACCTATTTCAGTTAATGCTGCAGATTGCATTGTTCCTTAATCTTGTAATTGGATCTGGCTTATTATTTTTGTAGACTGTTAGAGCAATTTTAAGCTTGAACTTTTGATTATGTCAAAAAGAATTTCCGATTCTGAAGCTGCCAAAGGATCTACAAAGCAAAAGCATGTTTCAATGTCCATCAAACAAAAATTGGAATTGCTGCAAAAAAGGTATAAAGGCATATCCTTTGTTTCTCTAACCATTCCAAAATCTGCTTATCAATTTCACGCTGCTCTGCCGGGGGGGATGTAGCGGCACGCAATGGACTGGAAGTTGATCTGTGAGCACTACCTTTTTCTTCAGGGCTGATATTTTTATTTTATTCGGCTTATAATTCCTTACTATATGAAATATTTCATCTCGATGTACACTGCCTTTGATATGATTTAAATAAAATTCCTCGTCATTATAAATATCACGAATACACATCAAACAGTTTTCTGGTCGCAATTTTCTAATTTCAACTATGCATAATGTATGCTTTACACATGCGTGCATTGAAAGAAATGTTTAATAAAGTAAACAAATAAATATTAAGCTTTTTTTTGTACATTTTGATATCCTTTAGATCATAATTGCTTTTTATTTCATAAATTACGGTTTCATATTTTTAATTTTATAATTTCTGCATGCCATCTTATCAGTTTTAAACTGATGATCTATAATCCGGAAAAACCGATAATATGGAATCAAAGTCCCTACGAGTCTGGATTAAAGACTTTTGACTGTATTAGTTTTAAAGAAATATACATCACCACAATTTTACATGTAGAAGGATTGGTTTACTTAATTACGGCAAAGACTCAAGGGCTATCTGCCTAAGGGAAGGGATGCCTTCATGGAGGACTTTATAAGGAAAACTGGCTCAAGTACACATTACACAAGGGAAAAATTATGGAAACGTGCAGCCAGCCCATTTGTCGGATTTGAACCTTAGACCGAACTACCAGTGTTCAGAGACTTTACCGCTCGGGTGCTGATAAGCCTACATGTACAGGGAACTTGTATTAGCCATGGACCTTATAAGAAATAGAACAACCCAAATGGGTTTTCTCCATCGTCTGACACGTTCATTTCACAAATTAGAATTTCTCCATATTTTCATTTTTGAAACTGAGATCTATTTTTAAAAATTTTGTACATTTATCAAGCATAATTAGCGTTCCAAATAATTATAAAGGTATTGCATGCTTTCAGGGCTGGATATTTTTTAGCTTTTCCTATGCTGTATGGAAATTTGTAACTACTTCTATTAGAAAATAATATTTTAAATCTGAACTAATAGAAAATTTCAAACAAGCAATTTTCTTTTGCAATTTTTATGTTTTTTATTGGTGTAAATAAGTAAAAAATACTAAAATATTTTAAAACGAATTTTTGAGAGTTTTGTTTAAAATTATAAATTGTGCTGCTTTTTTTAAATTATAGATGAGTATTATAGCACAATTTCTATAAAGGAATTTTATTTCAATTATATTTCATAAAACATCATAGTGATAAACACTTTCGACTCCTTAATTTTTGTACATTTAATTCTAATATTAAAACTGTATTTAACCATAATAACTAATTATGCTTGTATTTTATAGTGATTATTTTTTAAATTTATTATTAGCTCTGCATAAGATTTTTTTTTATTTACTGTTAATTTAATTTATTAGCTCAAAACGGCATTTTGCGCTGTTTCACTATAAATGTCCTTGTCTCCTTGCAAATTGTTGTTACCAAATATTATCGTCCAGTATTATATTTAAAAAAATTAAATAATGAAGAATCTGCATGAATACATGTATGTTTCTCGCACTGCGACAAAAAAGACATTATCTAGAGCCATCAAATTTTGAATAATGTAATCCTCTACCCGAACATGGGCATCTGGACGGTCAAATTTCGAATTTGTTTTAATCTATTTCATATTTTGTAAAACTTTAACGAATTTTTGATTAACAAACTCAACGAGTTCAAAGCGAGCAATGGCAACACTGTACGGAAAATAACATTTTTATCTCCAGTGCGGAAATTCTAAAGATATGCTGTTTTTTAATGTATGTGGTTTACGGGCGAAGAACACGATATTCAATAAATATAGATAACACACAAAACGTTAAAAAAAAGCTCCTTTTGGTCGTAATATAAAATCTGAATGCTTCTAGATTTTATTTTATCTTTTTTCCCCCTTAATAAATAATCATTTTGTAATGATATGTTTGATGATTATTATAGTTTTGAAAATCACTGACTGAAAATGTTCATTAAATTTAAAAAAAAAAAAAAAAAAAAAAAAAATATCAGATCTTGTTTAATTTTACCTTATTTATTTCAAAGCATCACGTACTATCAATCTCATTTAATTTTACTTTATTTTTACGCAAAATTAAGTTCATAAATTTTGTGCTTACAGTTTTTAACGTTTTACCAAAGTAAAGATGTTTGTACAAGAATTACGCGTGAAAAAAATGCACGAAATGCTGTAAAAAGTGCTTTAATGAGATATATTAAATGATATTTGAAAAAAAAAAAAAAAAAAACGGTGACTTTCATAATCTCATCACTATACAATGTATCACATTTAATAATTAAAAGCAGTTATGTTATACAAACACCATGGGTTTCAATGTTAAAGTAAACCAGATCGTCCCTACTCTTTCTTGCGGACATGCCGGTGACGTTCGCCCCGCCCACTGGGTTAGTCTACCTCTTATAAGGTCCATGGTATTAGCCTATTCCAAAGGTGATTTGAGCTTTGAGTGGAAAGCCAGAGTTGTTCATACAGCATATTATATGAATTGTACCTCCTTTCTTTGAAACCTGGACATTACAAGAAATTTATCTAGTTGTTTCTGAAAGAAAAGTCATAAGAAATACCGTTCAGGAAAAGTTTAGCCAAAAGGAGAGTAGGGTGGAAGAGGGTTCTGAAGAAGGCGATAGTCCACCTGGACTAATAGAAGAATGCCTCCTTGTTTAATGGTGCTTCCATAATTTTGTATAACCCTGTATATATATATATAGGTGTTTAATTGTACACAAAATTTTAAATAACAGGAATATTTTTCATTCTTGAAATGAAAAATGTATGCAAAAAAATTTTCCACATCTAACGTTAAAAACTTATGATTATTTCATTTTATAAAACAAGAAATACTAACCTGCCGGCTACGTAGATTTGCTTTATTTTCCTTATTGGCAGGCTGATATAACATCCATTCATTAGCATGACAAAAGGGTCCAATATCCTGTACTGCAGAGCCTAAATCCCATTTACCATCTATAACATCATTCCATTCAAACTGCATAGGAACATCACACACATTATTGAGATCACAAAGAGCTGAACCTGGATTAGAACCACTGACTGACATCCTAGCTTGCTTTTTGTAGAAGCTAGCTGAAGCTGAATGATCTCTAAGTGAGATTAAATGCACAAAAGTGAAAAGATTTAGAAAAACATTAATGTATAACAACAACAACAACAAAAAAAAAAAAAAAAAAGACACATTTGTTTTTAGACACATTTCCCAGTCAAATCTAATTAATTTCAGCTGTTCACATGTTCATAACTATAATATTTTCATAACCATGTTACAAATATAAAAGAAATATATATATATGATGATAATATAGTTCGCTGCTGATAACTTGATATTAGATAAGTGCTTGACTAGTGAACACACCAATTATTCTGCAGTCGCAAGTGGATTGAAGTTAGATCACTGAAATATTGATTACATGGTAGAAGATGACAGGAACTTTTGAAGAATTACAAAATCACTTGATAATCCAAGCACACCTTTATCACATGTTGATTATTTTATGGCATGGCATATCACAATGCGGACAATCTACAACCCACAATTTTCAATATGACATAATACATTTTAGCATAGGGAGCAAAAGAGAATGCAATGCTATTTATAAGCTTGGAAATTCTTTGTTTTTGTTATGGATAGCAACTGGGCAAAAGTTTACAGCAATGCGGTTACTGCAGAAAAATCACAGATTCCTTGAAGGGGTTGTGCTTTAATTAAAAATTAGTAATTTAAAGGTCTATTGTCAATTTGTTCAATTAAGTTTTAATTTGGGAATATATTTTTCTCATCATATTTTGATATCTTACATATCCCTCCCTTCAAAGTAAAAAAGGCTTCATGAAAGAAAGGTTTTTTGAAAAGAAAGCATTATTGTGTTAGCAAAGCAAGATAAATTTTGTAGAATATTTAGAATTTTCAATCAGAAAACAATAAATGGCTTCAAGATATAATTTAGAAGTAATAACAACTCTCTAAACTTTCTAAAATATAAGTTTGTAAAGTTCTTCAGGTAGCTGGAAGGTGACATAAGTGATTCTTGTAGTCTTGTTTAAAATTTTTCATGAAAAATAAGTATTTTTATCAATATAAAATCAAAATTTTTCTAGTATATAGTTATGAAATACAATATAATATAATAATAAACTTTGATTAAAATGGGCAGGTCCTCTACAAGCAAATCATTCTAACTTTTTGTTAATGTCTGTGGGTTAAGTTAGGTTAAGTTATTTAATTACAGCAAAGCCTCGAGGGCTGTCTGGCTAAGGGGAGGGATGCCTTCGTGGAGTACTTTCTAAGGGAAACTGGCTTGTATACATGTTACATATGGGGAAAGCCATGAAAATACCCATGCAGCTAGCCCGTTCGCGGCATTCGAACCTCGGACAGAACTACCAGTGTTCAGCGACTTTACTCCTCAGCTGTTGGTGGGCCTAATGCCTGTGTGATGCTTAAATACAAATGAGATTGAATGAAGCAAATGCTAACCTTATTAAGAAATTTTGAAAACTTTCAATTTAATCACAACTCGCAAGAAACACGTTATGCTTTTTCAGCAAAATCTAAATAAATTGAACAGAATGACCTGCAAAGTAAACAAGCCTTTGCTGCACGGTGCTTGACAGGAAAGACTAATGGTCAGAATTTGCAGACCTATAACAGATGTTCTACAGTTGGATCCACTACAAAATTATCAGTTTTCTACATGATACCAGATGTCTGCCAATCACAAGTTTGGTTCTATTTTGCATACCATTTCTCTTGCCCTTCTCTGTAGATTTTTCCATATTTTCCAAAGCTTATGGTTTTTAAGAAATTTTCACAGGAACTATGGATAATTTACAGTAGTTAGGTCTATGCTAATAGTTCTATAGGGTGAATAAAATAAAACTGGCCAGAAAATATAAGATTTACACAGAATTGACCCTTTTTGATGAACAGAACTTCGCATTACAGAAAATGCTAGAAATGGCCACCGTTGATGTCGATGCAGCACTTGCTCGATTTAACTGTGAAACACATGTCTGAGGGATAGCATTTAAAATATTCTGCTGTAGCTCTTCCAGTGTCTGAGGATTATTTGAGTACACTTGACCCTGCCATTTTCCCCAGTGTTGTGATGTTGTTAGACTTTGTTCCAGGCCTTCCATCACTTGATCAATGTTTCCTGGTGTTTGAAACCTTAGCGGGATAGTTATAGTTTTTATTCGCTACAGAGAATGTTTTACGTCATTTTGCCATTAAGTCTTCCATTCTTAAATTTTTGCACAGTTCTGCACTTCCCTCAAATTGTGCTTTGCATAATACTCGACAATGAGCAAGCGTTGTTTCATCATGAGCACTATTTTGTGTTGCATTCAATTGGTCATTAAATACGTCATTAGTACACATTCACTCAAATGTAATGACACAGCAAAGAATTTAGAATGGAGCTTATGAGAGATGAGCATGCACAGACATAAGACAGCAAGTGATGGTTACATCAGCGTCACCAGTGGCCATTTCAAGAATTTTCTATAAAGAGAAATTCTCCTGTTCATGAACATGCATACATTCTGTATCAGGATTCCAATTATTTTTCCAGGACGGTTTTATTTTGACCACCACGTAGTATTAAATGGTGAAACTGCAAAATTACTTTTAATGCTGGAATATCAATTGTCTTTAATTTCAAGACTACAGATGTTTCAGCTCTAAAGATTATATAGTACACTCCCAATTATCAGCGGAATTGGGTGGCGGCCGCCGCCGCGGATAACAAAAATCGCTGATAATCCGAAAAAAGCTAAAAACGGGTATAAGAAAAGAGAAAACAGTCATTCCAACTTTGAAAAATCGTTAAAACGTAAAATAAACAGCAGTAAATGTTTAACTAACGCTTAATATTTTAGTATATCACTCAAAACTAACCTAAAATGCATTTTGTTAATGAAAACTGAAAAGAACTTTGTATACTTACGAGAGGCGTCAAGTATACACAGAAAAATTAATACATATGTACTGTTTTAATACTGTAATGTATTATGTAATTACAAAAGCATAACTGTAAAACTACACCTTTCTGAAGAAATCAGTCATTTGTGTTTGCTTCTTGCTTTGGAAGCATTTTCTTTTGATCAAAGATTGCATTTTTCGTAGCGTAAGTTTCTCGGCCAACTCCACGTTCTTCCAAATAGCTCAGCAGTTCGTCAACTTGTTGCATAGCTCCTTCGTGAGACTTCCGCATCTGCACAGTGGGCTCTTCTTCGCCTTCACTTCGCTGTTCTTCATCAGTCTCTCCCTTTGCTTTCTTCACAATTTCGTCATCTGTCAAGTGTTCAAAGCAAGGTTCGTTGACGTCAGACTCCAACAATTCGTTAATGCTTTCAGCATCGACGTTCTCACCATATCGGCAAGAGCTGCTGTGGCCGTGTCTACATTTTTATTCTCAGTTAATCTTTGGATTATGGTAACTTGACGATTTTTTGGCGAAAATTTGGCGATCAACTCTGCTACAGCAACCTGCTATTTTTTTTTTGTTTGGACGCCATTTTGTTTTCACAAAGTAAAGGCATCTTTTTTTTTTTTTTTTTTTTTTTTTTTTTTTTTTAACTTAACATTTTTTCCAACAATCTGTTACCCGAATTACGCTTATGCTAGAACTTTTATGGAACAAAAGTGCTTAATCATGATGAAGATTAGGTGCGAAACTGGGAGAAAGTGCAGAATCGCCCACTGCTTGCCGTGTCTTTAAGAATTGCACATACACAGTATCATCCATGCACACGTCGACCTATTTTCACTTAAAAAAACATCCCAGAATTCCACAAAAATGGCATTGCGCACACTCTTGACTTTATCCATGTACACTGCTAAAGTTTTAGCTAGTAACCTTTATCGCCTTACCAAAATGTCGCCAAACTACCTGTAACCATATTCCAAAGATTAGCTTCTTCACAACTCCAAGGGGTTAGGTTGTTGTTGGCTTCAACATTAGCATGAGTTTTCTCCATCATTTTATGAGGGTTGATGGTTTCACCGAGTACCATGCAGATGCAATATTGTAGATGCTGTCCAAGATTGTGTAGTGTTTCCAAAACTCTTTCAGATCATAACCTTCTTCAGTTTTTGTCATTAGCAGCTTGGTTCGGTATGTTCTCTTCATTGTTACAATGACTCCTTGGTCCATGGGTTGGATTAGCTCAGTAACGTTTGGGTGGAGAAAATTTGTCCATCAGAAGACTTTAGCACGCTTGTTGCTGGATGAGAAGATGCATTGTCGATCAATAGCACAGCTTTTTCAGGCAGGTTTTACGATTTAAGATGTTAACGCACTTGAAAAACAAAGATTTTTTCAAACCATTCTTGAAAAATGTTTCGGTTCATCCGTCCTTATTTTTGGTTAAAGTAATCAACGAGCAAATTTCCTATCCTTGTGGCTTTGAAAGATCTCTTTTTTTTTTTTTTTTACTTTTCAATGACAACAAGTCTAAGTTTATGTCCACCGGTAGCGTCACTGCAAGAAATGATAGTGATCCTTTCCTTGCTGCTTTTATGACCCACCGCTTTACTTTCATTTTAAATGATAAAGTGCGAGTGGGAAGACATTTCCACAAAAGTCCCAATTCTTCGGCATTATTAATTTTTTCAAAAGATAGCTCTTTTAAAACAAATTCTTCAAATTCATGGTGGAAATCATTGGCTGCTTGTTGATCACCACTAAGTTTGTCCCCATAAAGTCCAATTTCTCGAATTCCATGTCGCTGCTTAAAACAAGTCAACCAGCCAGAAGACGCATCAAAATTTTCTTTCAGGACCAACAAGTCAAAAGAGGTTTTTGCCTTCGCCGCAATGATAGGACCATTTAGAGGAGCACCCTCTTTTCAAACTTGAGCTAACCACTCTGTCAATGCCGTGTCTAGCTCATCAAAGGTAGAACCCTTCATAATTTTTCATTGCGGAAGCACTGTCTGACATTGATGCAAAGTTCACCAATTTGTCTTTTTGCTTTAGAATGTCAAGCAGTATTGTTTCCGCGATTACGTAATCCAGTTCCATCTGCTGCCTTGTAGTGCCATTTGTTACTTTGGAAATTAATTCTAGTTTTTGCGCAATCGTCAACACAACGTTCTTTTGTTTTCCTGACATTTTAAATCAGTAACAAAAAACACAAAACCAAAAAGCACAAGCACTGAGCACAATAAAAGAGAAGAAATTAACTGGGACCGGTTCGCAAACACTATCACACACAATGGCGAGTGGGAGGAAGTGGGCGTGTCAGTAAGATTAAGACGAGAGAGGGTGGTGGAGCAGGCAACTTCAAGGGTGAGTAAGAAATCACTTACTCATCAGAAAGGAAGGTTCCGAGAAGGCCTGGGATATTTTTGCCATAAATAAGCACGATATTAGCAAATTGAACATTTCACTCAGTTTTGTGAACATTTTTATTTTCTTTTCTTTATGCTTGTAAAATAAAAAACAAATAAATAAATAAAACCTCTTTGTGCTACAGGCACGGATAATCGGGAGTCTCCTGTACTCATAAAATCTAAATACATTTCAAAATTTAATATGACAATAAAATCTTTCCATGTCATAGTGCAATATGACAACAGCATGGTAGGCAGCATGATGACATACTGGAAAAGGACTTCAGCTTAGGGCCTGGTAACTGTTATATAATTTCATTCAATACTATAAAAAAGAATAAATTAAATATAAGACAGAAATAAATTCAATATATAAAATTAAACATAACATAAATAATATAAACCTATGTTCAACTGCAGCAACTACAAAGCCATATGAGGCAAGTTCCAAGCACAAGGCAGAATATGAGGTTCGCCAACCACTCAACCCATGTGAAAATATGACTAGTGGATACTTTTTATCAGTAGGTCTTAAAGGTGCTTGCCATACGGCTGGGATATAAAGCTTCCCTAATGAAAAAAATTCTGATTAAAAATTATTGAAATAAATAGATAATTTTAAAACTAATTAATATGAATACAGTTCAAGCCAAAAATGCATATTGCGATAAAATAACTATAAACGTAAATGTGATAATAGCTTGATTATCTGGAAAGAAATGTTGGCTACAAGAAAATTCTGAACAGCACATAAAAAACTGCAATTTATGGTATAAAAGCCAAATAAACATAAGAAATTTTTGGTCTAAAACTATAAATACAGTCATTTTATTTGTTATCAACTTGGATATTGAAGGCTTACATTTAACATAAGCTTTTGGGATGAGGGGATATATTTCAGACATAAAAGCCACATATTCTTCAAACATATAAAAGTAAAACATCTTATGTGATTATGAAATCCCATCAACAATGAAAATTGGTGGAGACTCCACCAAACCAGTGCTAATCACTTTGGCAGAAGCTTGGAGGAACTGATCACTCTTCATTAGTCAGGTAATCAAAAAGTTAAAAAAAAATTAAATTGTGATATTTTTTCACACTGCATTGCATTTTTTTACCCACTTTCAAATAAAGTCACATATTATGTCCATTACCTCACACTTCCCTTAATGTCAGGATCCCATAATTTTGAAACTACTCCACTTTCCATGGAAGGCAGGTTTCAAATTTAATCATTTTCTACAAAATGGAAGTGAAAAACTGATAAATAGCAGTTAATTTATATCCAACTTTACAAAAATTAATCAGCTTACCAAGAATCAATCAGGCTTACATAAAACTAAGATGATGATCTTATATTGTTTCACGATATCATGCTGATCCACTGACAACAGTTTTGGGTTGTCAAACTGGTCAGTGTTAAGTACAGTCAAAAGTCGTTAATTCGGACACCCATAATCCGGAATGATCTATAATCCGGACCTCAGAAAGCTACAAACTTTCTGCGCATGCGCCGCGTTCACGCATGCGCACAGGCGTTTACGAGAGCGCAAAAGACCCTTACAGCTGCGAATATGTTTGTGCGCATGCGCGTTTAATGTGTAACGGAGTTATACGCTAAGCTAAAGTTATCTAATTCAGTTAATGTTGCAGATTGCGTTGTTCCTTAATCTTCGAATTGGATCCGGCATATTATTTTTTGCAGACTGTTACAGCAATTTTATAAAAGTAAGCTTGAACTTTCGATTATGTCAAATAGAATTTCCGATATATATTTACTACAAAGCGAAAGTATGTTTTGAAATCCGAAATCTGTTTATCAATTTCACGCTGCTCTGCGGCAGAGGGAGGGGGGCAGAAACGTCATTTATTAGATTATGATAGATTAGAAAGACTATGTCAAATAGAATTTCCGATATATATTTACTAATATGTAATTTGTATCTACAAAGCAAAAGTATGTTTGAAATCCGAAATCTGTTTATCAATTTCACGCTGCGGATTGGAAGTTGATCTGTCAGCACTATCATTATCTTCAGAGCAGATGTTTTATTTTATTTGGTTTATAATTCCGTACTAAGTGTAGTATTTCATCTCGATATACTCTGTCTTTGATATGATTTAAATCAAGTTTCTCGTCATTATAATTCGCTTCCGATAGTGAAGAAAGTGACCCAGAGGTTATTGAAAACGAAAACATTTCGATTGACAAATTAGTCGGTATTCTCAACACAGCAATTATAGGACTTGAACAGCGGAACTTTGTAACTAAACAAGAAATTATGTCTGTTTAATAAATAGAATTAAAGAGAAAGTATTATCACATGAAACGAAGCAACTTACATTGAAGGAAATGTTTAATAAAGTAAACAAATAAATATTAAGCTTTTCTTTTTGTAAATTTTGATACCCTTTAGATCATCATTGGTCTTTATTTCATAAATTACGGTTTCATATTTTTAATTTTGTAATTTCTGCATGCCATCTTACCAGATTTAAACTGATGATCTATAATCCGGAAAAATCGATAATCCGGAATCGCCGAAGTCCCGACGAGTCCGGGTTAACGACTTTTGACTGTATACTAGCAAGAATAGCTCTTGCCATAGACTAAACAACTGTTCATGAGCTTTGAAATTTCTCATTAATTTCATTGTTGTACTAACTACCCACTTCTCTTTCTAAAAGGTGTCAAATTCCAAATGGGAATTCTTAGAGTAGTACAATGGTTATAATAGTGTGAAAGCAGGATTCCAAAGAGCAGTCCCACAGTGCTTTATAGTGGTTTTCCAATTCTCTCTGCTTAATTTTTCACAAAAAAGGTTTCTAAAATTTTAAAACATTCTAGTTGCTTAAGCTCTTTAGTTAGTTGAATGCTATGTAATTGGACTTTACTATACACAAAATCCTAAACCCATCAAATATCTGAACAGTTTGGAATTTCTATAAGATTTTAAAAATAGAAACACTTTGAAAGTCTTAGAGAAATTAATAAAGTAGAACAGAATAAATAACTGATATTATCTGTTGCACTAGCATCCTTATCTGTGATACAGATAAACATATGGATATTCATTACATTGGTTCTACATCCAGAAAATTATCAATACGAACTGAACATAAGAATGATATTTAGAAACTTTCTGCCAACCAATACAGTAACAAAACTAGCACACTTATAGTTCAATGCTCTTTACAGCATTAAAAAAAAAAAAAAATAACTGAATGGGACAGAACTAAAATCATCAAACTCCAGCATAAAAGCATCCTTAAAATCAGAGAAATGTACTAAATTTTCAGTAAACTGTGCTGAAACAGAACTCTTCCTTTTAATATACTATACATCTAGTTGATGATTCTCAGAAACGCAATGTCTTGCAGAAACAACAATAAAAGAAAGGAAACGTGATCAAGCCATTCATCTTAGTTCCAGCTGATGAAATAAATTTAACTGTGAAAACTTCTAATTCGCTAATATTTCAATGTGATTTTAGCATGTTAACCTACAACATTTTCTTTTTTTTAATTTCATTTTAACTTTTAACTTAGCGTGCCTAGAGGTTTCTCAGTTTCCCTCTTTACATTTCCTCCCGATGTCCAAGAAACATTGCTATTATTTCTGTTGAGATTTCTACAATAAATTTAAAAAAAATTTTTTTTTCAATTTTTTAATCCTAACTATTTTGAACAATAACAATAATTATCAATTTTAAAAGTATTTATCCATTTTCAAAAGTGAAAAATAACTGATAATGTTACACTGATAACAATGAAATGTCAAGGGAAAGCAAGTGACATTATCTTATTGATCTTGTTCCTGACTAATTATTGTTAATCCTTTAGTTCTAATGAAACTATTACCATATTGACAATGTGATGTAAGTTTTTAGTACATAAGATTCAGCATTGATTCAATGTACTACTTTTAGTTAATTCTTAGATAATACTAAAATTATGTTTTTCAATATGAAAATAAATACACATAATTAAGAATATATAAATGAAAATGACTCCATTTACTCATTTAATAACCTATTAATTTTTTAATTATATTAAATTTAAACTGTTTCTAATTTTCCAAAACAAAGGCAGAAACGACCCCTAAAATGGCCATTTTTAGAAGTCGTTCATCCATGTACACTATAAATGTCACACAGTATAGCCAAAAAATAGTCATCACTTTTATTAACAGATTTCCACCATGCTTCTGTGGGATGACATGGAAGTATCTACAATGTAGTAGTAGATTACCATAACTTAAGTTAAACATAAATAAATGCACAATAATGAATAATATAAAATTATAAGTAAGAAAACATAAAATTTTATGGAAATACAAGATATGTAACTAGCCATTCATCTGATTTAAAAATTCAGCAAACCAATACACAATTTCAGAAATAAACTGCAAGATGGAAAAATAACTTACCAACTAATATATGATGAAAAATTCTGTAAAAGAAAGGTGGTACACCTACTCTTGCTGCATATCCATTCAAATACTCTTTGTTTGGAATCCAAAGTGGCCATTGCAAATGCCTCTCCTAAAATAAAATTTTAGATAAAATTATTTTTCAAGATAATCACCAAATATATTTACTTAAAAGAATATGGTATATTTAATTTCAAAATCATAAATGTTGTTTCTCATATTTTAGATAGTAAAAAAACATAAAATTCTAAGTATTTAGGTCAGTTTAATCACTCATTCATTCTATTAACTTTAATTCCTTTAAATAAAACAGAGCTAAAATAAATTGCATTGAATTTCTTAAAAGGACTGCATGTTTTTATACCTTTATTTGATTTTTTTGAAAGAAATAATATATAGATGTTACTTTTATTCAATGTAATAGGTGAAATCCAGCATTTCTTTATAAAATACAAATAACTTCCTGCTAAGTGAAAAATTTTTGCAGTGTTCCCCCCCCCCAATGGCAGATTATGAACAGTTACAGAAAAAAAAAAAAAAAAAAAAAAAAAAAAGAAGAAGAAGATAGAATACAGCAATACAATGAAAAAAAAAAAAACCAGCTGTAACAGAGACCATTAATCTAACATATATCTTGCCTTCCAGTACCATTCGGCGAGAAAAGTTTTGCGCAGATCAGGACAGTGGGGTAGACGTTGAATCTATGAAGATGATATTGTAAGCAGTCATGTCCGGTGGCAAGGCGGAATTCAGCGACTGCTCTACACCTTGGGCCATTACACAAATTCGGGATAGCATTCTTCCAAGACTTATGAGAAACACGATGATAGAGATCTTTCTGAGCACGCACTTTGATAGATCTTTTAATATCCCTAACAGTATGGAAAGGCAAAGGACGAGAAATATACTGTATGATTAAAGCACCCTTTTTTGCCAAGAATTCGGCTTTCTTGTTACCTGGAATCCCACAGTGGGCAGGAACCCACTAGAGGACTATAGTTTTCTCAAGTGAAGCCAGGTTTTGTAGACAATGTCGACAATCCAATATGTCCTGTGATATGGGATTTTTATCTGAAACGATACCCAACAGAGCAGCTTGGGAATCACTGAGTATAACAGCTTTTGAGAATTTTTCCAAGTGGCATGGTAGCTGGTACACAGCTGTGCGAATCACAGCAATTTCACCGTCAAATGCAGAACCTTGGCCCACAGAGATGTAGAAAGAAAAAATTTTGGAGAAAATTCTGGCACTTGCATTAGGGCGATCAGACAGGAGGGATCCATCAGTGAAGATCCAAAGCCACTCTGGCTCAGGGTAAAAAATATTTAATACTTCGAAAGCGAGGGCTCTCATAATTAGACGGATCCATATTACATTTCATTACTTTTTGATCCAGGTCAAGATTAATTCAGAAAAGATTTCAAATTTATTGGATTTTGTAGTGGAACAAGTAATTCTGGTTCATTCATTAAACCAAGTGAATTTTTTAACTGAAAAACTATCTGTAGAAAGCCCATCTGGGTCTTTAGATTTCTAGTCAGACCTTGATTGACTTCATTTCAGAGTGAAAGACATCCAGGAACTCTAATGATCTTTTCCCAGAGAATTAAGGACCTCTCTTAAGGATTTATCACCAGTTAACATAAACATGGCATCGATCGGAGTGGTCTTCAAAGCTCCAGAAACAATACGTATGCACTGATTTTGGATTTTTTCTAGAGTATAGAGTACATTTTCTACGGCCACAACAAGTGGTTCACAGCAATAAGTCAGAAGGGGGAGGACAAACGAATGATAAGTTTAGAGCAGGGTTTGTCCAGTGCAACGCCACCTTGCCCCAGCAAGGCATTTAAGGACACTGAGTCTCTTCTTAGCACGGTTGTACAAGTCCTCAACATGTGGCTTCCATGTTAATTTGCAGTTTTTGTAGTATGTTTCTTATACGAAAAGCATTCCTGTAAAGCTTTTTTAACCCTCTAACCAGCCAGACCATATACACCAAACAGCCATTACATTATGACCACCCTCCCTCTAAAACAATAGGCTCACCTAGGAACAAAACTACTGCACATGTGTGGCTAATGTTGCAGTACATAAAGCAGCTATGCATTATCATTCCTAACATAGTGCGATTAGCGACATGTTCCTGCACTGATGGCACATCATCGCCAGGTATGTCTGCAATGGGCCAAGAAACATCGGAATTGGACATTAGAAGAATGGAAGAAAGATGCATGGTTCAACGAATCACGTTTTCTGGTCCATCACATTGACCAGCATGTGCTAATATGCTGATTTCCAAATGAAACCCTGGCTCCCGGATGCACAGTTGGACGGAGACAAGCTAGTGGTGAGGTGGGCAAAGTTTTCATGGAGCACCCATAGACAATCCATAAGCCCCATAGAACAATCACTGACATCTGTGAGCTATGTGAACATTGTTGCTGATAAGGTTCATCCATCAATAGCAACAGTATTTCTAACAGGGAATGGAGTTTACCAGCAGGATAATGCACCATGCCATAAAGGTTGAATCATCAGGGAGTGGTTTGAGGAACATTCCAGTGACTTTTAAGTCATATCCTCCAAATTCACTTGACATTCAAATTTTTGCTGCCGCCTACCCCCTTGCAATGTGCAGGAACTGTTGGTGAGATGCTTGGTGCCAGATATTTCAGACTACATCTCAGCACCTTTTGTGGAATCAATGCCATGCCAGGTGCTGGGAGTTTTGAGGGCTAAAAGTGGTCCTACATGTTATTAAAAGGGTTGTCATAATGTAATGGTTCTTTGGTGTATATACACTCTAGATTACTTTTTGTAACTTCTTTAAGAAAATGCCTACATGTTTTGAAGTATGTCCAAGAAAATAAGGCAATACAGTACAAAGTCTTTAATCAGGACTCATCGGGACTTCGGCGATTCCGGATTAGGGGTTTTTCCGAATTATAGATCATCAATTTAAATCCGGTAAGATGGCATGCATAAATTATAAAATTAAAAATATGAAACCATAATTTATGAAACAAAGAGCAATTATTGATCTAAAGGGTATCAAAATTTTAAAAAAAACTTAATATTTATTTTGTTTACTTTATTAAACATTTCTTTCAATGTAAGTTGTTTAAGTTGCTTCATTTTATGTGCTAATACTTTCTCTTTAATTCTATAAACAGACATAATTTCTTGTTCAGTTACTAAGTTCCGCTGTTCAAGTCCTGTAATTGTTGTGCCGAGAATACCGACTAACTTCTCAATCGAAATTTTTTCATTTTCACTAACCTCTGTCACTATCAATTTTTTGCAGCAATTCTACTTTTTGTTTGATGGACATCGAAACATGCTTTCCCTTTGTAGATCCTTTGGCAGCTCCAGAATCGGAAACTCTTTTTGACATAATCGGACGTTCAAGCTTATTTTTTATAAAATTGCTCTAACAGTCTGCAAAAAATAACAAGTTGGATCCAATTAGAAGATTAAGGAACAACACAATCTGCAACATTAACTGAAATAGATAATTAGACAATTTTAACCTAACTTATCCATCCGTTATACATTAAACGTGCATGCATAAAAGTATTATGCACATGCGTAAACGCTACACATGCGCAGAAAGTTTGTAGCTTTGAGGTCCAGATTATAGAACATTCCGGATCATGGACATCCGGATTAAAGACTTTGTACTGTATATTAACATTAAATCTAAGCATAAAATCACAAGTATTTTGGCATTTTAATCCAGAAAATTTCTCTTTCTTACGCCAACTTGGGGCAATTTGAGGTTCCAGAGTAAAGCCAAAAGGCTGTGGTCAGGCTAAAGCCAAAATGACAAAAGAGAACTTATAATAAATTTAAGGTAGTTTTCCATTAAAAGCCATATGACTTCATACTTTTCTGCTTTGGCATATTTAGGTAAGGTATCATAAATTTGGTTTGGCTTCTTTCCTGGGTGGATTATTTTTTACTGGAATAGATTCCGTGAGTTGAGGATTTGTCAGGAGAAGAAAAAAATAGTTATCCTGCTCTTTCAAGAAAGAGATGTTCTTCACAAATAAAGACAGTGTTTGCATAACTAATTCTTTTACATTTTGTGAAACTAAAATGCAATTCAAAGCTGAAAATGGCTATGCAGCCTTCACTCATGCCAGGATGAAAAAGTTATCTGAACATGAATATGCTGATTCATACATTCCTTTTATTGCTGTCACACGATTCATATGCTTCTGGTGTTAGGATTTAATGAAACTGATTTTGTAAACCAAAGCTTACCTCAAATGAATATGCAAAACAACATTTGATTGAATAATTATGTAAGAGAGGCATAAACTAATTCTTTTACATCTCATTGTAACTTTAATATCAATGAATATAACAAAATCCAGAAAATTTATTTACTAATTTACAAAAAGAACATATGCTACATTCTTTCCCTACGGTGGGTTTTTGGAGGATTTTTTAAGGAAAAAAGGTTTTTCCATAAAAAGGAAAAAGTGCAGAGGTTTTGAAAAGGTTTGCTGATCTGATTAATGGAATAATACCATTCCTTGAAGAAAAAGGCAAGCAAATTAGAATGTTAAAGGAACCATCTTTCAAGTGTGACTTAGCATTTTTAGTTTATGTGACAGACCATCTGAATGATTTAAACAAAATATTGATGGGAAAAAGCCAATTCATCAGTTAACTGGCTAATACAATATCTGCTTTCAAACTAAAACTCCAGCTGTTCTCAAAGCAGCTTGGCTGTCAAAATTTTGTCAATTGTTCTTACCTGACGAAACTAAAGGAAAATTTTCCTGATAAACAGCTGGATTATTCAGATCAAATAAAGATACTGCTTGCTTCATTTGAAAAGCAATTTACAGATTTTGAGTTGCATAAGGTTAAATTTAAACTGTTTGGAGATCCATTTTCTATTGTAGTCAAGAAAGCTCCAGAAGATGTTCAAATGGAACTAATTGATTATACAAATTCAGATTCCATGATTTAGACATTCTTGACTTTTAAAAAACACTACCTGCCAAATTTGTGCACTTAAAAAATAATGCAAGCAGATGTGCTATCATGTTTGTTAGTACTTATATATGTGAACAAACATTTCCGAACGAATCCAAATAAGTCAAAATTAAGAAATAAACTGCCAGATCAGCACTTGCAATCTGTGTTAAGTATATCAACAACTAGTTTTCATCCAAATTTATCAAAAATTGTTGATAAAATTCAGTCTCAAACATCAACTAATGTATTTAACTATGGTTAACTTATACATATTTTGGAACTACTCTGATATGCGCCCTCAAGTCGGCAAATTTCTCGCCAAATATTTTTGGCAAGAAACTTCACGCTGCCATATTACTATCTAAATTTTTTGTCTACATTTTGAACTTATAGCCTAAAATGTCTCCAAAAATGCGGTTTTCGCACATGCAAAAACTACATTTTGAACACACAATTTAGATTACAAAAACACAATTAGAAACAAAAACAAAAAATTTAAATAGCAAAAATGTAAAGTTTCTAACCAAAAATATTTGACAAGAATCCATGTACACAGCGACATGTCTTAACTTAAAAAAACATCTACGAATTGCACAATGTAGGCAACAAATGAATCTACAAACTACGCAGACCTCGCTTTAATAAATTAACATAACAACAATAAATTTCAAAGAATACCATGTACACAGCATCCTGTGGCCCTTCTGGCTCAAAAGGTTGGGTATCCTTACCTTAGAAAATAGAACAGTTCCAAGAGCTTGTGTTTCATCCTCGCATAATGATCGTTGCTTGTTGCACTTTAAAATTCATTTGTCTTTGGCTACTGTTTTAGCCTTTTCTATCCAATATGCCATAGAATGTTCTCTCTCTCTCTCTTTTTTTTTTTTTTTTTTTTTTTTAAATTTTGGTCACATCTTTCATTAATGTGATGGAATATGAGAAAATAATATCTTCCTTTTCAATTTCAAAATGGTTTACTAAATTACTTTTTTGAAGAATATTAGCCCAAACTCTCAGGTTGATAATAAATTCAAGATTTTCCCCATCATATAGAAAATGTTCTCTCTTTGATATACATGTGACAAAACCTAGCAATACACAAAAACAATACCATCTCTGAGTAGTCTCTATTCAAGTGTTTTAGAAACTGCTAACATTTACCCACAATGCTGCTCTCTAATTTCATGTAAACTTATGTAAGCATTACACCTTTATAAGCCGTCATGAATTTGTACTGCAGATAGTACATCACCGGGTACCAAATTTAACTAGAAATAGAATGAATAAAAATAGAACTTTTTGAAATAATGCAATGGAACAGCTTTGGTATATAGCCATTCCATGCCAATATTCATTTCATCACCAAGTTAATGCAGCACACAAAAAACCTGAAATTAATGTATGATTGGGTAATTAACATATAATAGGTATTTTTTCATTAAATGAATTATTTAAATTATTCCAAAGCACATGAAAGCTAGCAGTCTAAGGAGAAAAATGATTTATGAAAGAATAATATGAATGGAATATCTATATATATATATATATATATATTAAATATTCACGAATAATAAACAATAATTGGCTAATCTTTGGTATATTGTGTTGGTGAATTTAATTAGGGCAAAGCCCACTAGGGCTATCTGCCTAAGGGAAGGGATGCCTATGTGGAGGACTTTCTAAGGGAAACTGGCTCGTATACATGTTACACATGGGGAAAACCACGAAAATACCCATGCAGCCAGCCCTTTTGCGGGATTCAAACCTCGGACCAAACTACCAGCGTTCAGTGACTTTACCGCTCGGCTACTGGTGGGCCGGCTAAGCTTTGGAATATGGTAACAGGTAGTTTGGCAACATTTTGGTAAAGCGATAAAAGTTACTAGCTAGGACTTTAGCAGTGTACATGGATAAAGTCAAGAGTGTGCGCAATGCCATTTTTGTGCAATTCTGGGATGTTTTTTTAAGTGAAAATAGGTCGATATGTACATGGATGATAATGTGTATGTGCAATTATTAAAAACGCAAGCAGTTTGCGATTCTGCACTTTCCCCAATTTCGCACCTAATCTGATTAAGCATTTTTGTTCCATAAAAGTTCTAGTATAAGCGTAATTCGGCTAGCAGATTGTTGGAAAAAATGTTGAGTAAAAAAAAAAAAAAAAAAACACGCCTTTACTTCGTGAAACGGCGTCTAAAACAAAACTAGCAGGTTGTTGTAGCAGGGTTGGTCGCCAAATTTTCACCAAAAAATCGCCAAGTTACCATAGTTCAAAGATTAACCCAATAATTTAGATATAAACTTACCGAACTACAAACACTAATAATCATTACTTGGTGAAAAAAATACCTAATTGACACAATCAAAAAATGCTTGCGAACTGAAGCTTATCCAGTACTCTTGGTCACATTATTGACATTATTATATCAATTGAGCTTAAGGATATCTACATTTCTAAGGAATTTTCAAATCATCAAACTTTTTCAATAATTATAGCGAACCAAATTTTCTAGCATATATACTATTAGATCAATTTGCTAACGTAAGAATATTTTGTTTTTGACTAGTCTGGATTTTAAACATATTTTAAAAGTATTTGAATATAATTTTCAGAAAACACAAAACGAAAATTTTTTAAGTCTTTTTTACTGCTTACTAGATGGAACAATGGAAATACATACTTTTTCATAGCGTCTACGTTTGATATGATACTTGCAGTTCTAGTATTACTTTATTAGGAAAAATTACGTATATTAAATAGCCACGTTCTATACCTCACACAATATGGCACTTACTAAAATTCCTTGACTCTCAGTTGGATAATAAAGTCTGACGAAAACTCCAAATTTTAAAAACGAAGTCATAATATCATTGCAACCAACTGTATACGGACCCGTGGGTAAAGGAAGATGTCTTTTCCCTTTGTGTATAAGGCTTTTTGTTCTCTCCATTACAATTCAAAAAGTACTGTGATACTTATTATTATAAGCAGACCCATATAAATATAACAAAAGCACTATAAATAGACGAGAAGCATGATGCAAACAGATAAAACAAACAAATATATAACAGTTACAGTGAAAAGATGAACAGTAATACTTATTACTACGGCTCTGGTTGCTCCTGGATCTTAGTGCTATGAATACGAAATATAATATTTATAAATACTCACCCTTAGGTTGATAAAAGCATTTCTATAATTTCTTTTTTTTAATTGCTGAGGAACTTTTGTCTCTTTAAAGTTGTCAAAATGTAGCTACTAATTGCTACATAAATTAAGGTTATTTATTCTCCGAGAACTAATAATTTATGAACATTTTTATTTTTCGTCTTGCTTTGCCTTTCTTTGAAATTTAACCTTAAAATTTACCAAGAAATATATTACCGACAATGGTAAATTTTTGAAATTTTGGAATGACTTCGATATCGAAACTTAGCATGAAAGGCTATTTATCAAAAAAAAGTCATATTTAAGAAAGTAAAGGAGCATAAAATACTTTAGTATTTTTTCATTATTTGCTAGAGTGAAAAGTTAAAAAAAAAAAAAAAAAAAAAAAAAAAAAAAAAAAAAAGAATGAAAGATGAAGTCTTTCAGCTAACTTTCTCATCCAATGATTATAATTTTTAAATCTGGCATTACTGTTGATATTGAGCGTTACACGACACGTGTGTCGCTGGACTGAAGAGTGTTGAAGACTTTGAGATCCTGTAGCAAGTGTTTGGTGTTTTGTTCCCATCTTCGGGCTAAGGCTTTATTAGCAACTTGCATCCACCACTTGCTGAATATTTAAAGAAAATGTTGTCCATTGATGAATTAGCGTGCGTTTACAGCGCCCTTATTTTGCAGGATGATGAAATTGCTGTTACAGTAAGTAGCGGATTCATATTCTAGTGGTAGTAGTATAAATACTGTTGCTGAGTTTAAGTATACGTATTTCTGATTAAAAAAATAAATAGTTATCTTTACAAGAGTTACATGCTTCAAAACCATATTTTATGCAGTGACTCTTAAATTTGATACGAAAGTTACCCGTTAGGCTTAATAAGCCACATGGTGTAGCATTGTCTGAATGAATTTTTATTCACAAATCATTTTCTTGTTTATATGGAGTTTATTAAATAAATGTGAATTATAATTTACATGAAGGAGTTGTTTTAAGGGGGAAAATAAATGAAATTTGTCATCGTATAGAATAAATTTGCCAGAATTCACTGCTGGTGTGATGGATTTTGAACACTATTAATATATTAGAATGATTATTATTAGTATATATCAAAGCTTACCAAACTTCATATCAATTACAGCCGCATGTTGGAATTCGGCGAAGTTTAAGTCTGATTCTAAACAGAGGGGAGTTATTCGTAGTTTCCCTTCAGCTTATGAAGATGCGTCGATGACGGTAAAGTTTGTCTATAATTACAGCTTGATGTGTTAAAAAGAACTCTTTCAGTTTTTTAAATGCTACGATTCTTCGTCGATATCGTCTTGTAAATATTCATCTATCACAGCATTATTATGGTCATGAAACTTCGCATTTTTCTTAAACCTGCCCCACAGCAACTCTAATCGTTTTCTGCTGTCTCAAAATTATCCTGTAATTTCTTTGTATGCTTGTTCCACGGCAAGTATCTGTTACATTTGAAATATCTGTCAGATTTTACAATTTTCTAAAGGTAACATTGTCTTTATGCTGTGGCTGTAATCAGATTTATTAGAAATTCCATAAATTTATAATTGTGCTATGAGTAAATTTCTCTATGATATTAAGTGTTTTTGATGCATTATGTGCATTTTGTGTTTCACTTACAGAACATCCATTTTATTTTCACTATTGCTAATGATCTAGAAGTTTGGCAGAACTTTCTGATTCTCAAACTTTTCAGTCATGGTGCCTTTTTTCAATTAAAATCTTTCCATGGTGCCCTACCCTAAATAAAATGATTAATTGTATGTAAGAAGTTAAAAAACTGATAAACAGCAATAATTCATTAATATTTTTTTACATTAAAATAATAATATAATAGATGAGCCTGCAAATTGCACATTTTCTCAAATTCTAGAGATAACCTAGACATGACCAATCTCATTTCCTTTTCTACATTAATTTTTGCTTTATACTTCTTATAACAATTGCCGAAAACAAGCTTCGCACAAATACAATGTAAAAAATGGACTTAAAATCTGCTGAGTTTTATCACTTAGAAGGGGGGAGATATTCATCATTTAGTGAAATCCAAAATTCTTTCAATTCCATTCAGCCAAATTTTACTTTCAAACTGTTGTCTCAAGATAACTTGATAAGATTCTTTTCCACGAAAGTAAATTCATACAGGGCACTAGTGTTCAGTAGATCTTGAATCTATGCAAACGTATCAAAACGTTTGGAAGTATTTCTCAAACCAGATAATTAGTCGTGATAAGTCTTCAAATACATTTTTTATATCTTTAGGAGGACTTCATTTGCTTTCAAAATTTGCTTCAGTATTAAAAAAATAATCTTTACCTGCATTTTCATTCAACTTTTAGTTTTTTATAAAAGCTGATATTTTTTCAATTGACTTCAAAAGATGGATGCTTTTTCCCTGCAGAAAGAGAGACTAAGATAGCTTTTCGGAAAAGTTTCGTAAATGTGCCAGTTTTAAGACATCGGCATCAGCAAAATTTTCTGCATCTTTACATTCTTCCTCCTTAAGCATAAAATAAGGTATTAATGATGATAAATAAAATATTCTTGCATTAGTTCAAAGGTATGCAATAAAACATTACCCTGAAAAGCCATCTTGCACTGCTAGAATATGACAAAGATGAGTGTTTGGCTACCATGGTCTCGGACGGTCGTTTTTTTTTTTTTTTTTTTTAACCTTGTTTTCTGTGAACGAGATTTTATAAAATATACCACATTCACTGCACTGATTCGGATGATACAAGCACATCTCTATTAATAATGAAATGTCTCCACAGTGCAATTGGTGATTAGCTTTTAATATGTGTCTATAATCCTTCATAGCAGCTAAATATGGAGCTAGATCCATGAGTACTGACACCAATGTACTTAGGCCAATTCAAATTACTTTCAGATATGACTGTATTAAGGGTTTCAAATAAGCTGAGCATTTACTCCTAAAATATTTTTTTACAAAGCAGATAGTCTTTAATATTACCATCTCTAAACCATGCATAGTTTATTAAATGAGTATCCCGCTTTGATGTGTTATTAATGATCAAACTAAGTTGAGAGGGTAAAAGTTTACAATTGGGTGCCCCTTGACTTTTGGCGATTCTTTTTTGACACCAAGATCAGCGCCAGGAAGGCACAATTTCAAGATGGCCGCTACACAAAACCAAAATGAGAAGTCAAAGAATTGCACAGACTCTGTGTCCATGTACACATCAATCTGTTTTCACTTAAAAAAAATCCTAGAATTGCACAAACTAGGCATTGCGCACTGCCTTAAATTTGTCCATGTACACATCAATCTATTTTAATTTAAATAAAATCAGGAAGCTAAAACTATCGTGGTAACCAGAAGTGAGGTTTCATCACCAAAATTTTAAAAAAAAATTGTCACTAATTGAAGGGGCACCCAATTCTACACTAGAGCCGTTGAGAGCACTGAATATAGTAGAAAGTGTATGTGCCCACCCTAGGGTATAGTTCTATCACTTCGAGACATTGTATTTTATTTTTAAAAATTATGCTATGAAATATAAGTATTGCTGACTAAAGAGAGTGGAATAAAAAATAAATGCCAATGATTATAAACTACGGAGTGGCTATGGTTCAAAACCAGTGAGCAGAAATAGGGAAATTGCATAAATGGTTATCATGATGCACACTAGAGGGAGTCGCATTAGCTCGAGAAAGTTTAGGGATGGGATTTTTTGGTTTTTAACTTTTTGTGTTTTTTAATTTTATAATTTTTTTTTGGTATTCAACATAAAAAAAATCAGCATAAAGTCATAAATCAGCAACTAACTGTTAGTAAAACGTAAATGTCGCTTATCTTCTTTCAAATATGTCCAACTATTATTAGTGTAAAATATTTAATGCTACTTCATAAATTGCACAAAATTTATTTTATTCTGAAACTTATTATGTTAATTCTTGTTTAGTAGTAATGCATACTACTTAGGGATTATTTTATTTTTAGGTTATTTAAAAAATGAAATTCTGGCATAGATAATATTTTTAATTGAATTTATTCAGTTCCCATTTGATCATAGGTCTTTAATTTTTTCATTAATGGTCCTTAAAACTACTTAATTTCCGTGTGCAGAAATGTGTAAACCGTTATCAGGTGAATTTTGAAACAGTTATTTTGTCTGACAAATCAAAGTTTAACATTTTTTAGAGTGATGGACAACAATATGTGTGTAGAAAGGCTGACCCCCGAACTGGAAATCGGCATTTAACACCGACACTGAAACATGTTGGAGGGAGCGGCATAGTTTGGGGCTGTAATGGAGTTGGTAACCTGTGCTTCATTGATGGTATTGTGACAGCACATACATACATTGACATATTGCATCTTAAAATGAAATTCAGCGCCCAAAAACTTAGGGACATCATTTGTGTTTACAACAGGACAATGACCCTAAGGATGCAGTAAACCTTACCTGGCAATAGTTACTCTATAACGCTCCTTGCCAGTTAAAGACACCGCCTGAATCGCCTGACATAAATTCAATTGAAAATTTATGTCACAAATTTAACCAAAAAGTTGGGAAACAAACAGGGTTTGTAACAGTCCTTATAAGTGCTTATAAGTCCTTATATTTGAAAATAAAATATAAAGGCCCTTATAGGTGCTTACTTTTTCTTTAAAGCCCTTATTTTTGTTTGTTTTTAGTGCTTATTTTTTGCTTTCAGTGCTTTTTTTTTTTTTTTTTTTTAAATGTATGCGCAATTTTTCCCGGTAACAAAGTCGAAACTAAATAAACAACTTTTCTTCCTAATATGGAATGTCAGATGGTGAATCATACTCCCGGAAATAGCTTTTCCCCCTTTTCTGCATTAACATAACCTTTGGTCTGCACGGAGAGTACAGACAGG